CTTCAGCGATTTGCGCCTCAGCGCGTCGAACGCTCAGATCGTTCAAATCGTTCAAATCGCGCTGCTCTAATCACGCTTGAGGCGCCGCAGCTCTTCCTGACGCTGCTTGAAGCGCGTCCACCATAGACTTTGTATGTAAACCTGCTGCTCCTGATGCTGAAATCATGTTTGGTGTGAACGCACCATTAGGGTTTGTGGTCAGGGTTAGGCTGTAGAAATGTAATGAAAGTCAATGGAATGTCCCCACAAGGATAGAGAGACATAGTGTGTGAGGACGTTCTCACCACTTGGACTGGTAGAACTCGTAGAGTTTGACGGGACACCTCAGAGGGTTCTTCTTGTTCTCCTTCATCTTCAGGTAGTTCTTCTTTATGCGGCGTTTCTTCGCCGGGACGCCGTCAGCCTCTGGACCAGAGAGACAGGAAGTAGTGGTYTCTGCTCGGACCCCAGTTTCCCCCTCGGTCCCCGCGGTACCTGGCTCCTCCTGGTTCGTGGATGTGGGCGGGTAGAAGCGGAGGTAGGTGGTCTTGGTGCTGTCCGGGTTGGTTTTGGTGCAGCGCATGACGTGGGCGAAGGACAGCTGGCGGTGCTGCTCCACCGTGGTGAAGCCRAAGTGTTTGCAGCAGAAGAAGAGCAGCGTGTTGAGGAGGACGATGGGCGAGWACGCCCCCAGCTGCTTGCACCCCCACAGGAACTCCTCCTCCACGCAGGAGCGCACCGGACCTGCAGAGGAGAACAGGGAGGTGGAAGAACGAGCCGAAGAATGAGCTGAAGAACGAGCCGAAACAAAGTGACACTGGAATCCCACCTGCATCTGAGAGAGAAGCTCTGAACTGTTTCAGGATTCTCGTCATCCTCGAGGAGAACTTCTGGTAGGACGGGTCGCTGAAGATGTTCTCATGACGACCGTTTTCCCACAAATACTAGAAAAATAAAGAAAATAAGCGGTTAAATCCAGACGCAGTGTCAGCTCAGACCTTCCTGCAGGCCGTACTGAAGCCGACACCTGCTGGATGCAGAGGCAGAGGTAGAAGATGACATCAGCAGAACGTGGACCTCCTCGCTGACGTCTGGTCTCTTTCATGAACCGACAGAGTCCGACGTTCAGCTCTGATGAAGAACACTCCAGAGGATCTGCMTTCAACGTCGCAGCAGCAGCTGAAGACAAATGTTACAGAATCAGGATTAAAGCTAAGCTAAGAGTGCTAACGTTAGCTTCTGTTAGCCATCCATACAGATTAAAGGATCTGCCTTTTACATCACAGCTGCAGCTGAAGAGAAAGTTTAAGAAATGTTACAAGCTAACATTACTTAGCTAAAAATGCTAACTTTAGCTTCTACTAGCCTCCCATATGGATTAAAAAACAGAGGTTTGACTGTGTGAACACAGCCAGCCTGTTGCCATTTAAGCTCTTTTTGGCTACTTTTAGCATTTCAGCAAGCCTTTGGCTACTTTAAGTGTCTTTTGTACATTTATGTGTTGCTGTTTGAGCTAGCTTTTAGCTACTGTTAGCTAGCCCTTTACAGTTTCTTTTTTGCTTCTCGTTGAATCAATATCTTCTAAACAGATTTTGGCTGTGTTTTAGCTGGTTTTCTACGTGTTAAAGGGTAAAACTGGTGATGCAGGAGACCAGACCCAGGTCCGTCTGAGATCCTCTCCATTCCATCCATCTCCTCCAGGCGTTGAGTCCGATCTGACCGCTCAGCTCTTTCTTTTCCCTGGGAACCATCGGAGGAGAAACTTCAGCTGATGGCTCCTCTTCAGCTCCTTCGGCTGCTGAAGGCTGTAGCATTTCTCCGTTTGTCAGAGGGGTCTTGCTGTGGTCTTCTTCTGCTGTTTCCTGTGACGGTGCAGGAGGAAGAGGACTCGTGTGGTTCTGCATGGCCTGAACAGGACGAGGAGCAGGAGCAGGCAGACGCTCCTCAGGAACGTCTCCAGCTGAACTTTTAGGAGGAATTTTAGGAGGTTTGGGTTCAAAGAACAAGTCGAGGATGGAGTCYGAGACGACTTGTTTCTGGTTGTTTAAATCGGTCTCAAACTGGTCTCTGTAGCTGCTGATGTTGTCTGAAAATCAGAACAAAAATTAAAGAAAATCCAGCCGGTTCAGATGTTATCAGTCCCATAGAATGGCTTCAGACTGTCCCGACAGTGCCCCCTAGTGGGTAACCAGTGCCATATACACTGGAATGCAACAATCTTTATCATGGCTCGTCATTTTCTCTAAAATTAACCTCACTRGTTTTATGCCTCATATTAACAAGCTGACAGTCTGAAGCCATTCTATGGGACTGATAACGGTTARTAACGTCCATTTAATGGATGAAAACATCCGAAGCAGGTGAGAAAATCAAATAAACTTCAGTTTTTTGTCTTTAAAAGGCAGAAGAGGGAACAACTCCTCACCGATGAGGGGCAGAGTTTTTTCTGTTTCCTCTTCCTTCAGCTCCTTTCCRTCCTGCCTGATGAGGTTTAACTCCTCCTCCACAGGTTCAGGACACGCCTCCTCCTCCTCGGGGGGCTCGGAGCTGCTCCGTCTCTCTGACAGGAACACYGGCACCGGCAGCTGCACAAAACACAAATCCAAACAAGCCCATATTTTTATCACAGCTCCCATCAGAGAACGTGTTTTTATTATCAGGTCAGGTGAACGACAGGTTTGTGTACCGGTACTGGCAGAGGCAGCGGGGTGGGCGTGTACTGGCTGTACAGGTTCATGGGGACRGGGACGAAGATGGGAACCGGAATGGGGAGGAGCTTCTCACGGACCTTCTCTTTTAAAACCACTTCAAGCAACAAAACAGAAACATGGTTAACACAATGATACAATAATGACTTAACAATGACTGAATCGATCAAACCGCTGCAGTAAAACCTGGATTTTTGACATTTTCTAATCATCCTGTGGTAAATCAAAGCTTGTTTTTGTGGTTTATTAATTAATTTCCTGATGTTTACCTGTCTGAGCTGCAGTCTCTACGGTCTGAACAGAACAGGACACTCCCTTGTTGTGGACCAGAGGAACGCAGAGCGTCAATTTATTCTTCAGCTCTTTGAGGTCCGTCTGCACGCCGGCCTGAAGAAAACAAATCAAATTTTATTTAATTTAAAGAAGCAGAAACGTTCATCTACAATAAGAAGCATTTTGTGTTTGTGAACTCACATGTCCAACGACTTTAGTCTGGATGTCAGTGAGGAGTCCTGAGGAGATCAGAAATTATTCATTACATTTAAAAACAAAACAAATGCTATACATTCAACAAATAATACAAAGCAAAAGTGAAAGGTAACAGAAAAAAAAAATCTTATTAATATCTGCCTCTTTTTTCAATAAATAAATACATTAAAACAATAATAGTCTTCAAATAATGAAACCTAACAAAACTTTAACTCCTTCTCGAACAACAGTTCTTATGAATGCACATCATACAAATTCACATTTCTTCAACAATCTAATTTTCATCATTCGTTTAAAAAAAATGTACTAAATCAGCAGATTGTTCCACAATCTTATTCCCTGGACTGAAGTACATCAATCCTACGAATTTGTTTGAATTTTGGGCTTTAAAAACATCTCTGTACCCTTAAGGTTATAATTACCGTATTTATTAATATATAATACGATCTCATGTATAATACAACCCCCCTTTTTTTAGCTTAAAAAGCATAAAAATTTTAATCCTCAAACTACCTCCAATTTCATTCAGACTTGAATATTTTTCAGTCTTTGCAGTCTTTATACATATCAGTATAATGATCATTGGACTGTTCATTTTATTTTAACAACATATGTACTAAAAGGTATTTTGACAACAAATATATATCAGCTGTAGCAGCATCATATGAATTCTGGCATTTTACACATAGTCCACCAGGAGGCGCCAACACAAAAGTCAGAGACTTCACATGAGATTTGGACCATCCTGTGGGGGGAAAGCAGATTACTTCCTACTCGCGAGCGCCCCCTCTGGTGGGGAAACTTTTTTCAGGGATACAAACTTTTTCAGAACACTGGTAGACGGCAGCCATTACAGACGAACATGTGTTTGTTGTTGTTTGAGGAGCGGCTCGGTCACACACTAATGTCATTAATTTGTTATCATTACTAAGCTGCAGGACTGCTTTCCCCCACTTTTTCTCACATCATGTCTCCTGCCTGGATCTGTTATTATCTCACTCTGAAGCACAGAGGAGTGTCAGAGGTGAGCTCGTTTCAACTGCTTTTTACGACGTGGTCTCATTTTCGGACTCAGGCATTTTGAGAATGAAGCTGATGTTTCAGTTAAAACACATAACTAAAAATATTTACCCGAATATAGTACTACCCCCCAACTTTATGGATGATTTTATGGATTTAATTTTACGTATTATACTTGAATTAATACGGTACTTACTCTCTTAACAAAATTTAATTAAATATTTAGAGGTAATACATTTTTATGAGCTTTATACATGACCTGCAAAATATTATGATCAACCAACTCATAACATTTCAATAATTTCAACTGACAAAATAATATATTTGATGGGTGACTGTAATTTTTTTCTGGTGATAATTCTTACGACTCTTTACTGTAAAATAAAGATGGGATTTGTAATTGTTTTATATGCTTTACCCCAGACCTCAACACCTTAAATCAAGTGTGGAACAATTATTGCATTATATAACATAAACAAAGCTTTGTCATTAAATAAGTCCCTTATTACATAATACTGCAATGGATTTGGCTATTTTTGTTCATAAGTGATTTATGTGAGATTTCATCAATAAAAACACCCAGAAACTTCAGATCTCAACATCATCAACTCAAAATTTCCTTTTTATTCTTCTAACTGAAGTCAGATGTAAATGTTTGGTTCGTACCGAGCTGTGGAGACGCCCTCATGGCGTTCAGGTGGTCTCTCAGGGCGCTGGACAGCGAGACCACGTCTGTTATTACAGGTGAGGACTGGTTGGCTCCTGCAGGGGAGGGAGGTGAAGAACCTGGAGGAGGAGAACCTTCACTCACGTGACGCACAACTTCAGCTTTCATTTCTTTATCTGCTCTTTGTTTCAGTTTGTTTTTATCTTTTCGTGTTCTTTTGGGTAAAAGTATGAGTAAAACCGTGTATAAGTATAAAGTACTGCCACGTACCCGAGTCCACCAGCTGCTCCTGGTTTCTGCAGAACTGAAGGAGACATTTCAGGTCRCAGAAACGTTTAACATCCCCTGACTGAGGAAGACTCTCTGACAGCCTTCCTCTGAGACCACACCAGTCACATTTCAGCAACTTCAAGAAAACAGAGTGAAATATGTCATCTTCAYCKTCATCWTCATCATCATAAAAACCCTCACTTTAAAGTTTTATCAGTATTAAAATCCATTTAATAAAGCTTCTGAGAAGTTTGACAAGTTTTAAAACATTAATTTGTTTTCAAAAACAAAAAAACAGAACGTTGTCCTCACCTGGCTGAGCAGCAGGGACTGTTTGGATCGGCACGTTTCAGAGCAGAACTCCTCCTCAGAACCTTCATCCTGAACCGCCGCCGTCGAGACCGAGAGGCAGAAAGAACAGGAGGAGCAGACCTTACCCCACATCCTCCTCAGATCATGGAGGAAGAACCTGAGGCAGACTGAGGAGGCAAAATAAACATGTCAACAACAACAATAAACAAGCTGTAGTCTGAGAGGAAACAAGTAAAGACAAACATGTAAACAACAATAAACAAGCTGTAGTCTGAGAGGAAACAAGTAAAGACAAACATGTAAACAACAATAAACAAGCTGTAGTCTGAGAGGAAACAAGT